TTCTGTCGTGCGCTTTGCTGCGCTTATTGGCACTGTAAATATTTGAATGTAAGAGATGTTTGTTTTTGCTAGAGCCATCATCAAAAATGTTAAGTTGTGTGTTTAGTGTGGCTTTAGATGCTGTTCTAGTTCAGAGATCTGGGAGGTCTTGGAGAAGGCCAGTTAAGTTGAGGCTTACAAACACAGTAAGTGGAGGCTAACTATCCCAATTATAAATTATTAAAGACTATGATGATTCCACCCAACATGGAGATCAATGCTTAGCACACCCAGGGAATTCACTCATGAGCACTTTACCGGAACACTGAATTCATTCATGAACACTTTACCGGAACACTGAATTCACTCATGAGCTCTTTACCGGAACACTGCCCAGGTCACTGGGCTATTATTTACAGGGACCCGAGGACCCGCTGTCACTCACTGCCAACCAGCCAATCACACAATCAATAACCCTGTAATACCCCTCCCCTGCCTGCCCCCACAAAGACTCAGATCTCCATTAATCATATGAGTGAGATACTGCAGTTCTCTGTTCTCTGTAGAACTGTTAATGAGTGTTCTCTTGTGAGTGCTCCGTTTATTCAGAGAGTTCTGTTCTAGGGGTGTTGCACTTCAGACAGCTAGCTGGCTTAGTAGCTTCGCTAACACATTTCCCCCCATATTAATCTGACCCATTGATGCTGCTGCTTTTATTGTCTTCTGTTGGATTCAGTATTGAGCCTCTTATCTACAGTATCTACTGTATCTGCTACCATAATGCACTGGAACTGGGAATGGCTGGTGTATTTTATGATTGTCAATTCAGTATCCTCTCTACACTATCTCCCCTCTTTCCCCTCTTTCCTCTCTTCTCTCCTTCCCTCTCTCCCTGGCCTGTTCCATCCTCCCTGCTGGCTGGCTTGGCGTTACTCTTGCACAAGCCCCATTCCAATACTTATTAGACTTGCTGGGTTGAATCCCAGCCAATGAGTGGACAACTAAAACTAGAGATGCCAAAAGGTAATTTGACCAAATGGAGTGAAGCCCTGGACTTATGTAAAGCCACATACAGTATAACATATTTAATAACATTACTCTCTGGTTCACATTCTCTTAATAACTCCAAATGATTCCAAACATTTTGGTTGTCTTGATGTATTGTCTGTGTAATCCCTTTGTGGAGATGACCGGTAGTGATTGAATTGAGAGTTGCTGTGTTGTGTGTAGGCTATCTCTGCCTGGCCAGCAGCTGTTCTGGATGGACTGTCCCTTAAGGCCACACATGAGAGATTTCATCGATTGAATTTTCTTCAATTATCTTGAGTTAAGAGTAAGCATTCATTGGTATACAATTACATTAAATCTAACTAGCAGTGCATGTTACTGTAACATACATGATCACATACAAAGTACACTCCTACCACAGCTTTGATTTGATCAGCATCAAATCTATTTTCTTGCCTGCCTACATTCTTCTGATTAAAAAATGATGTTTTCAAACATTTTTACTCTCAGCATTTCTCTCTGTTAGTTCATCTATTGTTGGAGGAGTCTTGTAACACATTACCTCTCTCCTCCTCCTTGCTCTCTCCTCCTCCTTGCTCTCTCCTCATTGCTCTCTCCTCCTCCTTGCTCTCTCCTCCTCCCCACCCACTGCTGTTATTTTTTCCCCTTTCCCCCCTCTATGCTGACTCTCCCATTTCTCCACTTCCCTCTCTCAAACCCCCTCCCTCCTCTCTCTCCCATGTATCCACTTCCCAAGCTCAGCTGGTAGAGCACGGCGCTTGTAACGCTAAGGTAGTGGGTTCGATCCCCGGGACCACCCATACACAAAAAAAAAATGTATGCACGCATGACTGTAAGTCGCTTTGGATAAAAGCGTCTGCTAAATGGCATATTTCTGATTATCTTTCTCAAACCGGGAAGACAGAAGGAACAAAAACGAGAGAGAGCACAGAGGAACAAGCGGAGAAAAGAGAGAGCGAGAGAACGCGAAAGAGAGACAAGAGAGAGCTTCCTCCCTCTTCCTACTCTCTCTCTCTCAACCCTCTCCTCTCTCCCTCTCTCTCTATCCCTCTCTCTCTCTCCCTGTGTGTTGTGGTCTTGCTGTCTCAGTGTAATGTGATCCAGCAGCAGTGCTGACTGCCCCCTGCTCTGCTCTGGTTGCTAGGCAGCTGATCTGAGACCAGTCCTCTCCTCAGTGCTGCACCTCCCTCGCCGACCCGTCTGCCTGCCTCTAAAGAGAGGAGGGGGGAAGGTAGCACCGTGACACCAATCCGAATGCCACACTCAGTCTCAGGCCACCAGGCAGGCAGGCGACACTCAGTCAACCCCTAGAATCTTCTAGGCTCTAAGGATGGGCAGAGGCTCATCAGACTGCAGTACTGCAGAGTGTAGTGTACACTGCCAGGGGGCAGGCTAGCCAGGGGTTAGCTATGAACTGGTTACACAGACATGAATAATAACCCCTAAGGTCGCTCCAGCAAATTGGCTGTATGATGCAGGGCCTTCTTCTAATGTCTTGGTGTTAAAACCCTTCATGCACATTATAGCTTTCTGTGTCATTCATTACCTGAGTGTAGGCCACAGTGTGGGGCTACCACAGTGAGCTAGCTGTTGGAAGGTTGCCCAGGTGTTGGATATCAGTAGGGTGGTAGCTATGGTTATTGTTTAGTAACAGAGTGTTAGCTTGCTGGGTAGGTATGAGCCATGGGCTGCTGTGGTATTGCTCCATTTGGTGGTGGAGGATAATGGCCTTAGATTTACTTCACAGTGGACCCATTTAGGGCCCAATTTTCTGTCCGAAAACAGCTCTCAGATGTACTTGTGGGTTTGCTACAGCTGTTTTGTTATTTTTGTGCATAAATGGAAGCATATTGGAGCCACAAAAACACATTGCTAATGCCCTTTCTTGGTTGGTGCATTAAAAGTGTAACAACCACAGAAGCACAGGAAGTTGACATGGATATGAGCTACATTTTGCTGAGATGTAGGCTCTGTTTTGCGCACAGGCACAGTGTCTGCGTTCAAATGATACTGTTGTTAACTAGGTCTGGGAATAGCCAGGGACCTCACAATACGATATTATTATGATAGTTAGGTGCCGGTACGATATGTATTGCGATTCTCACGATTCTATACTGAACAAAAATATAAACGCAACATGCAACAATTTCAAAGGTTTTACAGTGTTACAGTTCATATAAGAAAACCAGTCAGTATCTAGTGTGACCACCATTTGCCTCATGCAGCGCGACACATCTCCTTTGCATAGAGTTGATCAGGCTGTTGATTGTGGCCTGTGGAATGTTGTCCCACTCCTCTTCAATGGCTGTGTCTGAAGTTGCTGGATATTGGCGGGAACTGGAACACGCTGTCGTGCACCTCGATCCAGAGGATCCCAAACATGCTCAGTGGGTGACATGTCTGGTGAGTATGCAGGGCATGGAAGAACTGGGACATTTTCAGCTTCCAGATCCCTTGCGACATGGGGCCGTGCATTACAATGCTGAAACATGAGGTGATGGCAGCAGATGAATGGCACGACAATGGGCCTCAGGATCTCGTTACTGTATCTCTGTGCATTCAAATTGCCATTGATAAAATGCAATTGTGTTCGTTGTCCGTAGCTTATGCCTGCCCATACCATAACCCCACTGCCACCATGGAGCACTCTGTTCACAACGTCGACATCAGCAAAATGGTCGCTCACACGACGCCATACACATGGTCTGCGGTTGTGAAGCCAGTTGGACGTAATGCCAAATTCTCTAAAACGACGTTGGAGGCGGCTCATGGTAGAGAAATGAACATTCAATTATCTGGCAACAGCTGTGGTGGACATTCCTGCAGTCAGCATGCCAATTGCACGCTCCCTCAAAACTTGAGACATCTGTGGCATTGTGTTGTGTGACAGAACAGCACATTTTAGAGTGGCCTTTTATTGTTGCCAGCACAAGGTGCACCTGTGTAATGATCATTCTGTTTAATCAGCTTCGTGATATGCCACACCTGTCAGTTGGATGGATTATCTTGGCAAAAGAGAAATGCTTACTAACAAGGATGTAAACAAATTTGTGCACAACATTTGAGAAAAATAAGCTTTTTGTGCATATATCTGGGATCTTTTATTTCAGCTCATGAAACATGGGACAAACACTTTACATGTTGCATTTATATTTTTGTTCAGTGTATATGTATTGCGATTTGATATTGTGATTTTATTGCGATTCAATGTTCCAAACATATTGCTCACCATATGTCTGCTGCAGAGGGACAAGAGAGAGCCATGAGAAAACGAGTTTTGATCAGTCAGAGAAATAAAAGTGCTGAAAACAAAAATAGAAGATGGAGAACAAGCTATGAAGGAGGTTTGGTGCAGGTGCAGTTACAGGTGCAGGTGCAGTTACAGGTGCAGGTGCAGGTGCAGGTGCAGGTGCAGGTACAGGTACAGGTACAGGTGCAGGTGCAGGTGCAGGTGCAGGTGCATGTGCAGGTGCAGGTGCAGGTGCAGGTACAGGCAGGTGCAGGCAGGTGCAGGCAGGTGCAGGTGCAGGTGCAGGTGCAGGTGCAGGTGCAGGTGCAGGTGCAGGTACAGGAGCAGGTACAGGTGCAGGTACAGGTGCAGGTGCAGGTACAGGTGCAGGTGCAGGTGCAGGTGCAGGAACAGGAACAAGTGCAGGTGCAGGTGCAGGTGCAGGTGCAGGTGCAGGTACAGGAACAGGAACAGGTACAGGAACAGGTGCAGGTACAGGTGCAGGTGCAGGTACAGGTACAGGTGCAGGTACAGCCAACTAGCGCCAAAATAATATTGTCAAAACAATATGCTATATTGTCAAACATAATATCCTGATATGTAACTGTATCAATTTTATTCCCCATCATAATTGTTAACCTGATCTACCCTGATATGTGATTCCTAATAGCATTAACCCCCCCCCCCCCCCCCCCCCCCTTCTCTCCTCTCTCTCCTCCTCCCATACGTCTCTCTCTCTCTCGCTCTCTCTCTCTCGCTGTAGAAGTACCGGTACCAGGATGAGGAGACACCCCCCTTGGAGCACAGTCCAGCCCATTTGGGTCAAGGGAAAAGCGCTGAGATGCTTCACATGAGCGATAAGAACCTCGCCGCCATGGAGGCAATGCATGGCTACACGCCACACACACATATCTCCCCTATCAAGGTAGGACACACACACACACACACAGTATCACTACACGCCACACACATATTGTACATCTCCCTCATCAAGGTAGGACAAACTCACGTATGTTACATACAGTGCATCCGGAAAATATTCAGACCCCTTACCTTTTTCCACATTTTGTTACGTTACAGCCTTATTATAAAATTGATTAAATAAATGTTTTTCCTCATCAATCTACACACAATACCCCATAATGATAAAGCGAAAACAGATTTTTATTTGCATAAGTATTCAGGCCCTTTGCAATGAGCTCAGGTGCATCCTGTTTCCATTGATCATCCTTGAGATGTTTCTACAACTTCATTGGAGTCCACCTGTGGTAAATTCAATTGATTGGACATGATTTGGAAAGGCACACACCTGTCTATATAAGGTCCCACAGTTGACAGTGCATGTCAGAGCAAAAACCAAGCCATGAGGTCGAAGGAATTGTCGGTAGAGCTCCGAGACAGGATTGTGTCGAGGCATAGATCTGGTGAAGGGTACCAAAACATTTCTGCTTTATTGAAGATCCCCAAGAACACAATGGCCTCCATTATTCTTAAATGGAAGAAGTTTGGAACCACCAAGACTCTTCCTAGAGCTGGCCGCCTGGCCAAACTGAGCAGTCGGGGGAGAAGGGCCTTGATCAGGGAGGTGACCAAGAACCTGATGGTCACTCTGACAGAGCTCCAGAGTTCCTCTGTGGAGATGGGAGAACCTTCCAGAAGGACAACCATCTCTGCAGCACTCCACCAATCAGGCCTTTATGGTAGAGTAGCCAGACGGAAGCCACTCCTCAGTAAAAGGCACATGACAGCCCGCTTGGAGTTTGCCAAAAGGCACCTAAAGGACTCTGACCATGAGAAACAAGATTCTCTGGTCTGATGAATCCAAGATTGAACTCTTTGGCCTGAATGCCAAGTGTCACGTCTGGAAGAAACCTGGCACCCTCCCTACGGTGAAGCATGGTGGTGGCAGCATCATGCTGTGGGGATGTTTTTCAGTGGCAAGGACTGGGAGACTAGTCAGGATCAAGGGAAAGATTAATGGAGCAAAGTACAGAGAGATCCTTGATGAAAACCTGCTCCTGAGCACTCAAGACCTCAGACTGGGGCAAAGGTTCACCTTCCAACAGGACAACGACCTTAAGCACACAGCCAAGACAACGCAGAAGTGGCTTCGGGACAAGTCTCTGAATGTCCTTGAGTGGCCCAGCCAGAGCCCGGATTTGAACCCGATCGAACATCTCTGGAGAGACCTGAAAATAGCTGTGCAGCGACGCTCCCCATCCAACCTGACAGAGCTTGAGAGGATCTGCAGAGAACAATGGGAGAAACGCCCCAAATAAAGGTGTGCCAAGCTTGTAGCGTCATTCCCAAGAAGACTCAAGGCTGTAATCACTGCCAAAGGTGCTTCAACAAAGTTCTGAGTAAAGGGTCTGAATACTTATGTAAATTTAATATTTCCGTTTTTTTTGCAAAAATGTATTAAAACCTGTTTTTGCTTTGTCATTATTGTGTATTTTGACATTTTGAAAAAACATTTTAATCCATTTTAGAATAAGGCTGTTAACGTAACAAAATGTAGAAAAGGTCAAGGGGTCTGAATACTTTCCGAATGCACTGTACCTCTGTCAGGTAGGACACACTCATTAATCACTGCACATACAGCTCCCCCTTTAAAGAAGGACACACAGACAATCACAAGCAAATACATCCACCCATGCATGGTACCACCCACACACAAACTCCTTCTATCGCTCTACATCTATTTCTATCTCTCTCTCTCAGTGCATCCTCTTGGGAAACATGCGTTCACATTTGTCGTTGTCTCTGCAATCAACATTCACAGTTTGTCAGTGTGTCTCTCACTCAGTCTATGTGTTGGGTTTCTTTTGTGTACTGTGACATGAATAATATGACCTGCCTTTTCCTGGACTTGTTCTGATCCATGTGGTTTCCCTGATCCAGCAGGCTGTAGTCTAGAGTCAAGAAGCCTGAAAACGATCCTAAATCGTATGACATTTTTTGAAGGAAAAATCATTATGACTTCACTGAGGACATGTCTATGATGTGACATTTGGATCTTTGCATTATGACATCATCAATCATCAGTCCAGTTAAGTTGTCCTACTCTTGCTGCAGTGTCAACAGGACCTAAGGGGACTTGATGTCTCTGTTTTCAGTTGTCTGTACATGCTGCTCATATCAAAGGCCCCTCAGTGAGACTGTCTGGTCTGATCTCCAGGATTACCTGTTCCACTGATCCCAAGTACAGATATAGTGTTCCCTGTTGGCTCTATTTTAGTGTAGATGAAGGTTAGATTAGATTATCACTGATTCGGGTTAGGGTATTGCTTAATTACAACAATACATACATTTGATCATTATCTCTATGTTATGACAAAGTGCAGGTCAATCAATCAATCAATTTTATTTTATATAGCCCTTCTTACATCAGCTAATATCTCGAAGTGCTGTACAGAAACCCAGCCTAAAACCCCAAACAGCTAGTAATGCAGGTGTAGAAGCACGGTGGCTAGGAAAAACTCCCTAGAAAGGCAAAACCTAGGAAGAAACCTAGAGAGGAACCAGGCTATGAGGGGTGGCCAGTCCTCTTCTGGCTGTGCCGGGTGGAGATTATAACAGAACCATGCCAAGATGTTCAAAAATGTTCATAAGTGACAAGCATGGTCAAATAATAATCAGGAATAAATCTCAGTTGGCTTTTCATAGCCGATCATTAAGAGTTGAAAACAGCAGGTCTGGGACAGGTAGGGGTTCCATAACCGCAGGCAGAACAGTTGAAACTGGAATAGCAGCAAGGCCAGGCGGACTGGGGACAGCAAGGAGTCACCACGGCCGGTAGTCCCGACGTATGGTCCTAGGGCTCAGGTCTCTCAGTTGGCTTTTCATAGCCGATCATTAAGAGTTGAAAACAGCAGGTCTGGGACAGGTAGGGGTTTCGTAGCCGCAGGCAGAACAGTTGAAACTGGAATAGCAGCAAGGCCAGGCGGACTGGGGACAGCAAGGTGTCATCATGCCCGGTAGTCCTGACGTATGGTCCTAGGGCTCAGGTTCTCAGAGAGAAAGAGAGAACGAGAGAATTAGAGAGAGCATACTTAAATTCACACAGGACACTGGATAAGACAGGAGATGCGCAGGTGCGATGTTCATCGTCTCTCACTACTTTGTTGGTTCCACTTTGAGATGGAGTTAGATCCATTATTAAGGTCTTATGTGTGTCTGTTCACTCAGTTTGGAGGGTATTATTTGCCCCCTCATGTGTTAATTAAGAGGAACTGCAACTCTATTTCTGCACTGGAGAAACTGGATTCACTTCATGTGAAATGTTCTGTTTATTGACATCAAAAGCATTTATTCTGTACAATAATCATTAGTGTTCGTCAATGTTTATTTAAAGTGGATAGGTCTGGTCCTTGTTGCTGATTGGACAAGGAGAGATCAAGCTGTTATACAGCTTATAATATGGAACGTTCCACCCAATGACAAGAATAATGATGGTGGTGGTGCTGACTGCAGGTTTTTTGTGTTTTTATTATTATTATTATTATTATTATTATAATTTTTGGCCTGATTACATATCCAGTTCAATGTCTAGTTCCATGTCCCCATTTTTTATTCTTGTCTCATCCTCTGGCTTTCCCTCTCTTTCCTAACACTCATCCTCTGGCTTTCCCTCTCTTTCCTAACACTCATCCTCTGGCTTTCCCTCTCTTTCCTAACCCTGTTTGAACAAACAATACTAACTACCTTCTATTCCAGTTGAATAGTTGGATAATCCTTCCTTTGTTTACTTTCTTCTTCTTCTTCTTCTTCTTCTTCTTCTTCTTCTTCTTCTTCTTCTTCTTCTTCTTCTTCTTCCTTTGTTTATTTTCTTCTTCTTCTTCTTGTTCTTCTTCTTCCTCCTCTTCCTTTGTTTACTTTCTTCTTCTTCTTCTTCTTCTTCTTCATCCTCCTCTTCCTCCTCTTGCACCTCTCTGTATGATTACCTGGTTAACACGCTGCAATATAACCTGTCAGTGTATTACCCTGCTCTCCTGTTTTAACTCAACACTATATTATAACACAACACCAGATTATAACACAACAATATATTATAACACAACACTAGATTATAACACAACACTAGATTATAACACAACACCAGATTATAACACAACACTAGATTATAACACAACACTAGATTATAACACAACAATAGATTATAACGCAACACCAGATTGTAACCCAAAACTAGATTATAACATAACACTAGATTATAACACAACACTAGATTATAACACACCACTAGATTATAACACAACACTAGATTATAACACAACACCAGATTACAACACAACACTAGATTATAACACAACACTAGATTATAACACAACACCCATTTATACTATTTTATCCCGACTTTCTTTGCCATAATATTACCCCTTCCTCTCCGTGCACCCCATTCCTTGTTTCTTATTACCTCCCCAGTAGTTACCCCTCTTCTTAACTCCTCCACTCCAGTTACTCTCTCCCCTTTACCCCTCTCCTGCTCTGGTTACCCTTTACCCTCCTCTCTGTTGTTTTGCAGCCGGTGTTGATGTCGTCAGGCCACACTCCTATGTACACCTCTGCTGTTTCCACACTGGTAAGAGCGCAGAGCTGGGTTGTTGTCATCACCATCATCACTGTGGCTTTCTTACATCATTATGTATCTCCCATTGTGACATCATTACCAGTCCTGCAGTGATGTCACAAGTAAAACTTGGTTGTATCATCACAGTTCTGTTGCATCATATATTCTTTCAACGAGTATGAGGTCATCTGTGATGTGGTCATAGTGGTCATCTGTGATGTTGTCATTATGTGGTCATGCTCACACAGTAGTTATCAGCATCTGGACTGGTCATTCTCACGTTGCAGAGTTGTTGTTGCTACAGAGTGGGGCTTCATCTTCTGCATGTTCCACTTGTTTTTGGCTAATGTCTGTGTATTTTTATTTGTGAAGTTGGACTCTGTTTTGGATCACAGTGAAAAATGTGTAATAAGCTCCTAGTATTGTTTATTTTGTGGTGAAAAGCTTTTGCTGCCTGGTCTATTTGACTGGCTGATTGCCACGGCCAGTTGTGATATTGTGTCAATGGTCTACAGGATATGGATATTTGGATAAACCTTCTGTGAAGTACTGAACGTTTGATAGAGCTAGGCTTTAGGCCAGTGCAGCAGGGATAGACTGTGGCCAGGGGGGGGCAGTGTTTAACTGTGGCATTCTCGGCCCCTCATAACCTTGAAAAGGTGGCCATGCTGCATTAACTCTAATGCAATGTTTTTAATGATGAAGGCAGATAAGAGTTGCTATGATCAAAGTGCAGTTGCTGTTGGACCATTATTCTGCATATTTATTTTAAGTGCAGTTGAGGGTGTTAATGAGCATGATATTTTCCTCCATACAAACAGTAATGTATATACAGTAACGTACAGTATATGCAGCTCATTAGAAATGAAGCAGGAAGGGTGAGGAGAAGAAAATATAATATTTGTTTTCTCTTATCTGAACACATTAATCCTTATATGGCGTGTGTGTGTGTGTGTGTGTGTGTGTGTGTGTGTGTGTGTGTGTGTGTGTGTGTGTGTGTGTGTGTGTGTGTGTGTGTGTGTGTGTGTGTGTGTCGGTATGAGCTGTGATGTGATGCTGTATTGTGTGGAGTGCTCCTTAGGGATTCAGCTCCCCAGCCGGTCGGCAGTGATCCAATAAATTATATCTCCCCCAACACACACACACACTCTTGCTTCTGCAGCGACAGGAAGCCACTGATGTGATTTTATAGGCAGATGGCAGTAGTTGTGGTGTCAGTTGTGCATCTCGTCGGCTGCTAAGTGTTTGAGTGTGCTCAGTTTGCAAACAACACTGAAGACTCCTGCCCTGCTCTGCTCTGTTCTGCTCTGTTCTGCTCTGTTCTGCTCTGTTCTGCTCTGTTCTGATGCTTTGTGGCAGTGGTCACCAACCTTTTCTGAGTCAAGATCACTTTTTGAGTCAAAATGCAAACTGAAATCTACCACTCTGATTTTTTTAAAAACATTACTTAAAAAACATAAGCCTATGCTACGTTAACCAATTAAAAACAGTTCTGTAGCAATGAGGTTTGTACAGTAGGCTATAGGCCCAATACATTATCACTGCATATTGGATATGCTTGAATTGCCCTGCCAATGTTGTTCTTCTCAGACCATTTTGAAATTATATATTTTTTAAATGCAGGTATATGATCACACTGGTAATAGATCATTTGTTGTATTACTTGCTAATTTTTTTTACTGGACTGATGGCCTGCATCTGATGGTCAGTCTGAGGGGAGGTAGGGAGCAGCGGTGAGGCTGCCTCTCACCCAACTCACCGTCCCTCCTCTCTCCCTCCCTCCGCTGAGAAAAGGGGACACAGTCTTCCAGCTGATGGCAAAACTTAAGTCACACCCATTCATGTTGTTACTCCTATGACCAGAGAAAGTGAAATATTCCTCGATATTAAAAAAGACACAAGCCGCTAATAATAACAACACAAGCTTATCGAAACACTTTTCTACTCATTCATTGCAGCTGCAGTGCTGGTTGTAGCATGAGTGGAAGTAGGGAGAACTCACATTTTATGGCTTATAAAAGTTTTGAACAAATTACTGTGCAGGAGAAGCTTAAGTCTACTGGGGAGGAGAGGAGAGGAGAGGAGAGGAGAGGAGAGGAGAGGAGAGGAGAGGAGAGGAGAGGAGAGGAGAGGAGAGGAGAGGAGGAGAGGAGAGGAGAGGAGAGGAGAGGAGAGGAGAGGAGAGGAGAGGAGAGGAGAGGAGAGGAGAGGAGAGGAGAGGAGAGGAGAGGAGAGAGGAGAGGAGAGAGAGACGATGCATGCTAGAAGAGGAGAAGATCGTCAGCATCTAGGGAGGGAGGGAGGGAGGGAGGGAGGGAGGGAGGGAGGGAGGGAGGTTAGAGAGTAAAGTGGGCCCTGCGCTCAGAAGTGACAGAAATGTAGGTAAGGGTAGGGCAGGGGGAGAGAAATCTTATTTACCAAAATGAGGCTGTCAGCTCTGCATGTCCTTACATAACTCCTATGTGTGTGTGTGTACGTGCATGCGCGTGTGTGTGTGTACGTGCATGTGAGTGAGTGATAGAGAGAATGATAAAGAGAGAGATCATAAAAGAGAAGATGGTGGCATAGTCTCTTGACGTTCTCCACTTCCTCCAAGTTTTTGCAGTTTGCCACCAAGGAGCAACATAATTGGCTGGCTCTAGCCGCTAGGGACCCAGCTACTCATTCATTGCAGCTGCAGTGCTGGTTGTAGCATGAGTGGAAGTAGGGAGAACTCACATTTTATGGCTTATAAAAGTTTTGAACAAAGTGTTGACAGTGCTGAATAACAACTTAAACATTAACTTACTCATAAAAACAGCAGCTCTTTGGGTATTTGTTGAGTCTCTCTCTAGTCATGGTTTTAAAAGTTTAGAAATCTCACATTATGAACTTTGCTGTGCGTTCAAGGCTTATTTTTACAGATTGGCCAGCGGTAGGCCTATAAGTGCAATTTATTTGCTCTCTGGGCCTGCCGGGTAGGCAGAGTTCTACCGTCAGACACATGAAATGGTTCAAAATGGGAACACTTTGCCTTCCCGGCGCTAGGGCTGCTGAATCAAGTGCACCTACCGCCAACAGCGTGAAACGAATAAAAAAAACTAGAAAACATGTAGTAACCAAAAAAGTGTTAAACAAATAAAAATATATTTTACATTTAAGATTCTTCAAATAGCCACCCTTTGCCTTGATGACAGCTTTGCACACTCTTGTTATTCTCTAAACCAGCTTCATGAAGTAGTCACCTGGATTGCATTTCAATTAAGAGATGTGCCTTCTTAAAAGTTCATTTGTGGAATTTCTTTCCTTCTTAATGCGTTTGAGCCAATCAGTTGTGTTGTGACATTACTTTAGAACATGAAGGTCAGTCAATCCAGAAAATTTCAAGAACTTTGAAAGTTTCTTCAAGTGCAGTCGCTAAAACCATAAAGCGCTATGATGAAACTGGCTCTCATGAGGACCGCCAAAGGAATGGAAGACCCAGAGTTACCTCTGCTGCAGAGGATAAGTTCATTAGAGTTACCAGCCTCAGAAATGGCAGCCCAAATAAATGCTTCACAGAGTTCAAGTAACAGACACATCTCAACATCAACTGTTCAAAGGAGACTATGTGAATCAAGCCTTCATGGTCAAATTGCTGCAAAGAAACCACTACTAAAGGACACCAATAAGAAGAAGAGACTTGCTTGGGCCAAGAACCATGAGCAATGGACATTAGACCGGTGGAAATGTGTCCTTTGGTCTGGAGTCCAAATTAGAGATTTTTGGTTCCAACCTCTGTGTCTTTGTGAGACGTGGTGTGGGTGAACAGATGATATCCACATGTGTATTTCCGACCGTAAAGCATGGAGGAGGGGGTGTTATGGTGTGGGGGTGCTTTGCTGGTGACACTGTCTGTGATTTATTTAGAATTCAAGGCACACTTAATCAGCATGGCTACCACAGCATTCTGCAGATTACGCCATCCCATCTGGTTTGGGCTTAGAGGAACTATCATTTGTTTTTCAACAGGACAATGACCCAACACACCTCCAGGCTGTGTAAGGGCTATTTTACCAAGAAGGAGAGTGATGGAGTGCTGCATCAGATGACCTGGCCTCCACAATCCCCCGACCTCAACCAAATTGAGATGGTTTGGGATGAGTCGGACCGCAGAGTGAAGGAAAAGCAGCCAACAAGTGCTCAGCATATGTGGGAACTCCTTCAAGACTGTTGGAAAACATTCCAGGTGAAGCTAGTTAAGAGAATGCCAAGAGTGTGCAAAGCTGTCATCAAGTTAAAGGGTGGCTATTTGAAGTATCTCAAATATAAAATATATTTTGATTTGTTTAACTCTTTCTTGATGATCATATGTGTTATTTCATAGTTTGATGATTACTCTTCCTCTCCCACTCGCCCTTCCTACATCTATCCCCTCCGCAATATCTAAATAATCCAAATAACATTAATCAACCCTCTTAGCCTCCTCCCTCCCTCTCTCCCTCTCATCTCCTCTCCCTCTCTCTCTACCCCTCGTCTCCTCCCTCTCTTCCCCTTCCTCCTCTTCTCCCTCTCTTCCCTCTCTCCTCTCTCCTCTCCCCCCCTCCCCATACTGTATACTGTTAGAGTTCCGAGTCTGTTGACCTCCCTCATATTTACTGCCATGTTTGGGTTACAGTCAAGAACCCAGTCATTTATTTAATGCAGAGGAATTACCATTTTCCTCTAATGTATTCCCCAGGTCCCTGCACCCCCTCTTCTCCATTCCTCTCCCCTCCCCTCCCCCTCTCTATCTCTATCTCTCTCTCTCTCTCTCTGCATTAATCTCTGTATCTGACTTGTATCTTCATTTTCTCTGTCTTCCTTACTTTTCTTTAATAAATGTTTAAAGATGTCCCTGCAGCTCCAATGTAATTACTGTGCAGGAGAAGCTTAAGTCTACTGGGGAGGAGAGGAGAGGAGAGGAGAGGAGAGGAGAGGAGAGGAGAGGAGAGGAGAGGAGAGGAGAGGAGAGGAGAGGAGAGGAGAGGAGAGGAGAGGAGTGGAGAGGAGAGGAGAGGAGAGGAGAGGAGAGGAGAGGAGAGGAGAGGAGAGGAGAGGAGAGGAGAGGAGAGGAG